GAAATTCATATAATGGGGCATAATAGTATGTTACAACGCGGCATTATTATACCTGAAAACCTATTATTCATTCCGTGATATTTAGCGTAAGTAAATATCTCTTACATTACGCCCGGCTTTTTGCATCTCGATCCATTGAATTGCATTCCACTTCGCCTCTCGTTTAACCGCCGGCTCATTATGTAACCACAAACCGCAACTATTCCCGCTTTTATTCCCTTCTTTGCGTTTTGCAGAATCACGTTGATCGATCGACCGATCGATTGTTAATAATCAATCGCTAATTGATCAATAATGGTCATTATTAATCGATCGACCGAAAACAATAACGTCAACGACTGCAACATTTGCTTGCACTCACACACGCTCACTCATACACACAGTGCCTGGCATATTGCGGGGTGCACGCACCGAAAGGATCGTCGAGACTGTTCGCGGTACAACAGATTATACGTTACGTTGTACATTACGTTACCTGTGGGGGCCCCCGTAGCTTACACATCCGCCGGGCGTTCCCGACGGATCGTCAATCTTCTTCGAGCGGGCGATAACTACCGCGTCTAATATCCATCGTTTGGTGGCGAGGAGCCGCTCTTATCCATTGAAACGGTAGCTATCGTCGAGCATCGCTCTCGTAACCGGACCTACTGCTGGAGTACAAAAGGGCGTATTCCTGGTGTCGGGCCTCGCGATATCTGACCGGTGCACACACGTGCGGGGACGCATGACAATTATGCGAGATTAATGGCACGCGTAGCGCGCCTCTCCTCCGAGCTATATCTCGCTCGATATCTACCGACGTACCGTTGAATCCCGGACATCTTTGTCCTTTGACCGATCGGTCTTGCGAGATCGTCGACAGCGTGAGTATCCACGACTATTTCCAATTATCGATTACAGTCGGTCGTGCGAGAGAGATGAAATCTTACAAGATCTCACGTTGAAACGTCCGCGGCTCTCCACATTCAGCCAGGTATAGAAATTTAAGGAAACTCACGTTTGGTTATTTCGATATGATTAGAGCTCGAAATACCGTCGTGCATTACTCATCCATTCGAATTATACCATGTGAAGCAGCGATTAATGTCATCTAGAATATCTTTGAAGCAAGAAATGGAGGTCTTCAAATCTCCAAAGTCATTCCACTTAAAAAGAAAGCTTTATCATCAGAAGACGCTTTCTTACTAGAGTAACTTCGAAGATTTGAAGACTTTGCTTCGGAGATATTCCAGGTGGCAATAGTTACTAATTTGTCTTGTACATTTTAATTACGAGGAACATGAAATTTTCAAGTATTCGACTAACACAAGGGCGAATAATCGTAACGTCGCACGGAAAAAGAAGTCTAGTTAGACTAACCAAATGTCTAGCGAGAAATATAAACGAACAAGAAATCCCGGCTAAAGTTACCAGAATTCTATTTAAGTTAACAAGATTCCTGGTTAATTCGAACAGAATTCTAGTAACTTCAAGCGGGATTTCTGGTTCGTTTATACTTCGCCAAACATTTAATTAATCTAACCAAAGGTTTCTTCCACGCGGGCGAGCGAAGGAAGAAATATTGACGATGCGACCCGCGCGTATTGCGGGTGACAGCCAATGTTAGATTATTTTTCCCTTGGCGCGATACATCTCGTGGCGGTCGCTGGATTAGGGTGGTCGCTATAATTAGTGAGCGCGACGGAGCTCCCGCCGCGAAAATCTAATGCGAGCGTCGGTCATACTGAAACAAAAACCGCCAATTTAGGTGAAAACCGCTGAAAAGGGGGTTGCTGCTGGCCGGCGTCTACGTTAAAGCGGATGTATCCTCGCGCGGGCTTCGAAACGCCGTCATCTACGTTGAGACGCGTCTTTTCGCCTCGCCTCGCCTCGTCTCACTCCGCTTTTCCCAACTCAAGGAAGACACGAGCGATGCCCCCGGCAAGGGAACTCCCCGCGAAGAAAAACCACGGCCGACGAAACTGGCGTGGAAATAATGAAGCAAACGACAACGAGGAGGCGAAAGAGCGTGCTGGGTTGTCGACGTCGTGAGTTCCGGCTATTCACCACTTTCTGCGCTCGCATTTATTACGGGCCTCATACTCTCTTGCGTCGTCTCTATCCTCTCTTTTCCGCCCTCCACTCACACTGTACGGACACGATACGTACGTGCCTACATGGACGCGAGGGCAAATGTGTGCTTTACGTGTCCATGCATACGTTTACGCGCAAGCTTACGCGTGTCACCGTCGCGACGGACTCACGCAAGCATTCGTACGCGCGTGAGTGGTATCATTACTTTATGAGATGAAAATTTCACCCCGCAAGCGCTTAGAATTCATGTCGAATCGCATAGGAAGAATCGAAAATAAAAACTCGCGCGCGCGCTCGCATTTCGTCGCGACGCGTTGAACAAATCCGGCCAATTTTTTCTTTCCTTCTTTTATTTTGAGCGACCTTACGCTGACCTCAAAAAGCGAAATAAACTTGCCACACACAGGTTTGTGTGATGTATACGTAATGGGGGAGGAGTAAAACGGAATGCAGAATCTAAATTATGCGTTGTGAAATATTATGAAGAACATAAGCCTCGCGTAGTCGTAATTATTAAGATATAAACCCGGGTGAAATTAACGAAATTATCGCGGGAGCTAAGATGATTAATTATCAGGAAGATTTTCACGTGCGATATTAAATTACGAGACATAAAATTAATTGGCAGAGTATCAAAACGAGAGAGAGAGAGAGAGAGAGAGAGAGAGAGAGGGAGAGAGTATATTAAATTTCACGTAATTGACGTAAATCTTTGTAGAGTACGTATATATTCATTAATATCGAGGTGCTAACGAAAGGGAAATGGATCTGGAGGGAGAAGGTAGAGGCGGAGGTGAGAATCCGCGCGTGAAAATTTCAAGCCGAAGAGATCGCGACGAAACTTTACATTGTCGTGTAATTGAATGAAGAAACGACGATTAAAGCACACTGCATAATTAATGCAGGGCGAGCAACTTAAAAGTTTCGCGTTCGAGATGTAATATGCATGTATAATGCGACGTCCAAGTGTCACACGCCGTCGTGAGTCGAAAGCGATGAAATTTGCACCGGCGGAAGACGCGACTTTAAATTTACATTTGAGAAATCCCCGTCACGGGAAACGGAAGCCAAACGACGGTGCACGTCGGCTAACTTTTCCGCCGCACTGACAGCCCGACGTTCGAATCCCTGAAAATCCTGTGTAAACCCTCTGGCAGAGCCTTCCTTCGAGAAACTCTAATACTCGAAAAGCAGGCTACTAGTGTACCTGCAACATTCTATCGTGAGTGTTGTGCACACGTGGTAGGGGAGAGACCGCGGGGCTAGATGCCCCGTATCTCAGAATTTACATTTCAGAAGCTACATCTTCTCAAACAATTCATTGTTGTGACTGACTGTACAGGCATGGTAGATGCAGCCTTCTTTCAATGCCTATTAATGCCCGCCACGATCCTGTCAATCGTATATTTTGTTTTGTAATAACCAAAATACAAACATACATACGTGATGACCTTGTCCTGATATCAGGTTTAATTACTCAAAGTAAGAAGGCCACATATAAAATATGTATCTTGATTAGTAGTTAGCCTATCAGCGAGTCTCCATAGTCTTCCTGTCGATCTTCAATTATGAGTCAACTTTACTTCGTTCGCCCATATTTCATATTCGCTCGATTTCAATCACTTTGTAAGTGAAAATTGCTTTTATCATCCGAAACATTATATCATATACTTGCAGGAAGCTTCATTCTAGCTAGTAACATCGCTCAACTTTATTCATTCACGATAGAGAATATTAACATAAAATTTTGAGAGGCTTGAAAATTTACTTTGTCACTATTAAATCAAGTTTTTTTATTCTTTTAACTGTCATATTATTTTGATTTTAATGAAACTTAGGGAAAATCTATTTCTAAAAGGATCATTTCGCGATTTTGTATTCACTGTTCCTCTCAAAACAAATACCAAAAAGAGTACATGAGCAACATACCCTTAGGGACATCTAAAGCCGGTCTCCCCTATACATCGCGCCGGAGAAATTATCCTTGCTCTCCTCGGCTCCGAGATTAAAAACATGGTCCGTGTCTGAGAATCATCAGATTGCCGGGGAGCAACAAACGGAACGTCGACGAATCCGATTAGACGTTAAGAGCGCACCAGGGGATTAACGCATGTAATTTATTCTAGATACGTTCCTCGCCACTTTTTATACTTTTCGTAGGAATAAAGAAACAAACAAGCAAAAAGTAAAACTCTCCAGCACTCTTACTGTGAAAAGAGAATCGGGAAGCAACTTTCCGTAACTGTTTAATTCAATTTTCATCTCGGAAGAACGCGCGAGCTGCAGGTCAGACTTTTCGATGAATCGATACGGGGGTTGTATGAACAAAAGCCGTGGCAAGTCCGGCATAGAGCATGTAAGTAGCTCGATGCTCGATGTAAATCTCTCGCGTCGTAAATCCTGCGTTTTAGCGCTTATCAGTTGTGTCGTATTGTAGTAGGAACGTTTGCACGGCTAAAAGATCCGGCGCGAATCCTCGCGATAACGTAAATATTTGCTAAATCTTCAAAACCAAATTTATTTGCGCGTTGTCGCATCGTATTGTTTTTCTCGCGTTGTCACGAGAATTATTCAAAATAGCCGTATTTTCAGTTCGCAAACGCGATCAAGAGAGAAAGATGTGATTAAAAATTTGTTCCATGATCCGGTTGTTCCCGGTTCAGTTATCTGGTTTGTATCGTAGGTTACTAGGTCCTAATTATTAATAAAGTTCTGATTATCACGATGTGTTAGATAATTCATCAGGATTGAATATCATCTATAAACTAGATAATTGATTGGTATCAGCCTGATAAAGTTTATGGAATAGATTTCTAATCGGGAAGGATCAATTCTACACTGAAAACACTATTCTCATATTTGGAACTAAAATATTTGATATGTACGATTTGACATTACCATATTTTTACTTGTGTTAATGTTGCATGTATTATTGAGAAAATAAGATATATAAATGTACCAAACTGTTTGGTTACAATTATCAAACATTTGGTAATTGGCAAATGAGTTGATCCCATTTTAACCGAATTTTGACTCAGTTTTGACAAAATTTTCGTTCCAATAACAAAATCCTTTTTTATTGTGTTATAACATTAGATTTTTTCAATTCAGAATTTCACCGGAGATCATAGATTCGAAAATTATGGTAAATAGCGAACCAAAACGAGTAACCAATTTCCGTCCAACACAGGTCATCGCACCCAAAATCTCCGCTTCCGTCGACGTCGGTGTGTGACCCAGCGGCGTGCTTTCGAATGCGCAAAGCAATTGCGCGTCGTAAGCTCGAGTCGCGTGGTCGAGAGCCTTGAGAGTTAGTCGCCGCTACGGCAACGTAACGCGAGTCGCTCGCGATATTACATTACCCGGCCGTGTGTCTTCCGTGAATCTCGAATGCGGAACGTTTCGACGCCACCACTGATATACGTGCGCGGGAATTACTACGAACGCGACGAGCATGAGTCGCCGATAAGTCAAAGAGGACACACTGTAACCCGATATAACAACGTGCGCTCCTAATAACAGCCGCTCTCTCGCGCGTCTCCGTAGCCGTAATTATTATCTCACGTTCTTATTACACGTTGGTTCTATGGATACTCTCGAACGAGCGACAAGCGCCTAAGAAGTGGGAACAATTCGGAAACCCGGCGGGATTGAGGACGATACCGGGAGTAGAGTAGCGCATCGATACACACGAACCGGAGAACCAGGTGAGTGCTGTACTCACGTCGCGACCCTGCGATAACAGGGATCCTCTTGAGCCGCGCGCGACGCGTGCCAGCCAGCACTTATTTGTCAAGCTCGCGTTTATCCTATCAACTTTTATGGAAGCTTAACGAGAGTGTACAGGACGCGGCGGTCGGCCGCTCGGCCGTACATATCGATCAGTCACCTGTCACCCGTAGAATTCAATTAATATTCACGAGAGGCGACCGGCACGTCACAGGTGCCATTCAACAACCGACGAAACGATACGTTACAGATTGAAATGAAAAATACCACGGGAAAACGACAAGACGCGCGAGAGGGAGGGAGGAATGGTGAGAGAGAGAGAGAGAAAAATATAGGGGGAGGGGAAGAAAGAGAGAGAGAGAACTGGTCGCTTCACTACATGCGAAGCAGCCCAATTTGTCGTCACAAAAGAAGCGACTAACGAGGGCTGAGTCGGATAGAATCGCATTGAGACGCATTTCTTCCCTGGGATGTAAAAAGAAAGCCCTCACAGCAACTCGCATCCTTGTTCCTCTTGTTACACCTGTCCCCGCAGTTTCCACCTGTCCTCTCCTAACCTCCCTCTCTTCTTTCTCTCTTTCTATCTCACGCGCGCTCCGGTGCGAAGCTGGCCAGCTTTTATCACGAAAACACGCCTCAATTTCAACCGACCGTCTTGAAATTCTTTATTAGGACAAAACAGTCGGAGAAGAAGAGAAGTTTTACTGTGAGAATTCAGCCTTAACGGCACACAGTCGGACGCTGAGCGCCGCGTCACAGGCTAGAACAGAGAACTTCCGAAATTTGGCGAACGCAAAACCGGCAAAATCGTTCCGATGTATCTTCGATATCGCGGCGATGCTCTCCGTAACCGTTCCGACGACAAAGTCCCCGTAATACCGCGCGAATCGCGTTTCCGTATAACGATCCCCCGAGCATTCGGCGCGATGAACGGAAACGAACGAACGAACGAACGAGGATGAGAGAGAGGGAGGTCAGGGATGGATCTGCATGGCGCGTTGTACGTCGTCCATTGACTGCCGGCTGGAATATTCCATTCCGGCTTCAATTTGCGAAAGTTCGGACTCGGCAAGTTGGTCGGGGATAACTTGCGATTTCAAAGGCGGCATTTGTGTTAACACAGCTCTCGAGGGTGATGGTGGCTGTGGCGTCAGCGTCGGCGGCGACGGCACCGCGCAACGACACCACCGCCGCTACCTGTATAAATTGCTTTTCATCTTGCGACAATGTAGACTGTGGACATTTAATTTTGAAAACAAATAGCCAGGAAACTTTTCCCCACGCTCGCGGAATTATGCGCGGCCTTTATGCCTTTATTTTGCGCTTTCCACCGGTCAATTAAGCGGGGGTGTCGCGTCGCGACTTTCCGTTGGTATTGTCGTGCGAGCACGCAACTTTTGGGACACGAGCAAAATTCGCGGTGTCTCTCTATAATCGTTTCTCCTTCTCTTTCCATTTCTTCCTCTTTTTCTCTCTCTGGAGAGCGCGCTAACGCACTGAGATAGGCGAATGATCGTCGTTTGTCGACAGAGTGAATGAAAGTGATGGATCTCGCATGTTGCCACTATCTCTCTTCACGACACGTCGCGTCCATCTCTTCTATTCTTTCCCTTCTCTTTTTGTACGACGCAGGCTATCAAAGACGCGACGAGATTCTCAGAGTCTCGAGCGACGTAATACTCGGCTCCAAGAAAGCGACAAAAAATTTATTACGTCGCACGGTAATGAAATTCGATCTTGGGTAACTATGAAAATCACTTTAATTCTCATCTCAGCGGATCGGTACCAGGAGCAACTATGTCCACCGGTTAAATTGGTTCCGGTCCCGAATATAATGCGGTCCTGGAATTCGATATCTGAGGAATCGATTCCCCTGTTTAAAGACCAGTAGGAATGAAATATTAACCCGGAGGGGGTTCGGCTATTTGAAGATCGAAATTGTAATTCCGACGATTGAAACTTCTCTACCGCGGAGAGAGAAGAGGGCGGCGGAATCTGCGCGGCGCGGCACGGCACGGCGCGACGGAGAATAGAGGGCAAAGATCAAGACGCGGAAATTCCATTCCCCTCCCCGTTCGTCATGTGACGACTGTGAGTTTGCGTTCGAACTTAGGGTATTATGTAACGTCGGAGCTTTTTATGAATTCTCTAGTTAGAGAGTAAGTACTTCCTTCCACGCGACTAACTCGCTCGCCGCGAGAGAGGTCATGAACTCTTGATCGCCGCCTGTATTTGTGCCGAACAACTTGTCTTTCGCCGAGTGCCGCTTGTAGCCGCGAGAGAGCTTGTTATTGCGAGAGAGAGAGAGAGAGAGAGAGAGAGAGAGAGAGAGAGATACGAGCCGGTTCGCGCCGTCCTAAATATCGACTTGGCCTGTTTACGCGTAGAGATGCTAATTTACTCGCCCGGTAACAACAATCGAGCGCGATACGTCATGTCACAGAAATGCACGACGGAAAGGCCGGAATGACACGGCAAACGACTGAATTCAATGATCGCGAAACAGACCGATACTTTGTAGCCGACGCACGCGAGGGCTAATTGTCAACATTAACAACAGTTAAATTAATGACGGTGGCTGCGAAAATGTTTCACGATTAAAATTCCGCCGTGTACGAGCCGCTCCCTCCCGTCCCCTTTCCTCACCCCCTCCTCTCCCTCTAACCGCTAGCTGCGAGAGCGTTTACGCTCGGGCGCGTACAGGCCGTAGCCCGAAAATTCGCACAGGGATCGGCAAATATTCGACTTTTCATCTCGGAAACGCAAATTGCTACCCCGACATGCTGGACATTTCATTACCGAATTCCCCGCGCGATACGTGCGCCGCGTAATCCACCGTGTGCGGTTACACGGGACCTCACGTGGATAATTCGGTCGCGCGGCCCATCGAAAAAGAGACGAAGATGAATTGCAACGGGGGACTATCCGTTCCGATCGTCACGCCTCGTTTCTGGCTCGGCGTCGGCTACGGTTACGCGATCGCGATTTATACGCATCTGTTTTACGGTATTTTGTAACACGCGCCCCTTCACATAATACACCGGATACGGGGTAAACTACTTGCCGAACACTGCTGTTATAAGCGGATACGGTAAGATAACTTTCGAGCAACTCAAAACTCTGTTGCCCTTGAGTTACCTCTTCGCGAGAAAGCGGCTCTGATGGGAGCTTTATCCGGAAATTCTACATATTTGCCACATTTTCTCGTAATCGAAGAACATCCTAGTTTTGGAACATATTACGTGTAATCGCATTCAGTAGCGAATAATTGACACGAGATTTACATTGGAAAGAAAAGGAAACCAGCATTCGGAGGTAGAAAAACGCGACAATAGAGGGGAACGATCGGAAGGGACGCATAGTAAAGTCACTCACATTCAAAATTGACAGAAATTAATTTTATACATTTTTACGCATTTTTCTGACGATTAAAATTAATTCATCAATATTCTTTTTTTTTTAATTAAATCTTATCAGCAGGAAAATTAAATATATTTATGTCCGCACACATACAACTTGGACATAAGCCATGTTTTATATCATCATTTTATTTCAATATGAAGAAAGTACTTAAGCAAACTTGATAACTTTAGTTTTAGACAGACTAAATGGCTAATATATATCAGAAGTATGCACATGAATGTATTTTCTATTAATTATTGGTATATACGAGTTTCCAACGATCTCGATAGTTTACTTTATTGCCAGGTTTTAACAGTTCTCACTGTGCGGACAGTCGAGATCGAAGATCGTGAACTTAGCGCGAGAAATCGCTCTCTGGCTTCTATTAGTCTCCGAGTCCATACACCGACGTGTGCAGTATCCGTGGTCGTTTCTCACCTTCCTCGGAAAACACAGCGGCGTATCTAACACCATCTCGCTCGGTCTTCATCACGTTAGCGGGCTGCAGTATATTATATAGAAAGAGTCAGTGATTTGTAATATGAGCGCATCGAGCAATTTCCAAAGCCCCGCCAGCTATGGCGCGTCCGACTGAAACGCTCACAAAGGAATTGGCTCCGTGCAATTCAATCACGGTTAATCAAAAAAGTGATTGTTTGGAGAACAAATCTAAAAAAAGGAAAAAAAGTCATTAACTCTACAATGTGCATTGTTGCAAATTTCATTCGCGTTACCTTGATGTAGCTCTCTCTTTCGCGTATGGTTACGTCGAAATAGATAGATAGGTAAAAATTTTTTTTGTTTCAACCCGTCGCGACTCGGATCTATGGTATGCGATACTTTTTTCGTTCAAATAAAAATTTAGGATCCTTTAAACAGTTTTTATCTGACATTCCGTGTATCTACGGGAAACGCGCGTATGAAAGGGGACAATTTTCTGTTTTAATATCGCTCTATTCTACGAGCGCTGACGCAAAGCTAATCTAGAAATTTTAAGGACATTAGCGTGTCAATTAGTAAACACGAATTTTTCGTCGCGAGAACGTTTCATTGGATTTATACGAAATTCGAATTGGAAGTCGATATCCGATGAGAAATCCGATACGCGTAAACTCGCGAAAGCTTTTACGGATATGCCTTTATCCACAACAGTAGATTTCGTTGAAAGTGCTGTTTGATTTCGTTTAAGCTTAAGTGTCTTAAATAACTTCTAAAAAAGATTCCCCTCCAAAGTCGCTGTTGAAGAAATCTTCAGGTATCACATGCCACTGCGAAATTGTGCTATTAGCTGATCGTGAGATCCGATCGATCATTAAACGACCGACGCACAAGCCGTCATGTTAACGAAATTAATTAAACGTCAAAACGCGCGCATTTTCTCCGTTTTCTCCGTGAAAATTTCTCTCACAGCACAAATGAAAGCCACTTTGTAAGAATAACACACGGGAAGTATCCGGGATATATATTGAATTTGTTTCGGCCGCATCCATCACGAGAGAAGCAGGCGTTTAACTCCTGTAAGGAAAACATTTCATCACCGCTGGGTGTGCCACCATCGCGCCACCCTCGTATTTCT